ATCGGAACAGAATTTTCGTTCTCTTCTTTACAAAGGCGGCGCATCCGCGGAATTACATTCGATCTCGTTTACACGTTACGTTACACGATAAAAAGTAAATCTCTCTAGTTGTCTTCCTCCATTGTTCTCTCTTCCGACTGCATTTCCGGCTCATCATTTACAACGCTCGCGGTTTCCGGCACGTTTCTCGGTGTCCTCCGGCGAAAGGACAAAAATAAATTGATCGCTTCTCAACTCGACCCTCCTCTTTCATCCTCGTCGTACAATCTCGTTTCCCTTTTTTCTTCCTTTCCGTTGCCATCTCTATTATACGTAACTTTACAATCCTACTAGTAGCTTATACAGAGTGCGTTGATCTCCAAAAGTTTCTCTCTTCTCCTTTACAATGGCAAATGAAAAAATATCTGCATAGATATCCTTGAAAATAAATTACGTTGAGCCCGTGAATGCAAGGCGACGCGTTGTATTATATATTTTATTATTTTGTATTGACCCTCTGTTGTATGAATTTATTTATTATCGAAATTGATCTTAATCCGAATCGCACGTTAATGAGTCCAATGAATGTTCGGGAATTCTGGATAAAATGGCTCCAATCGTCGTTTTAAGGGGATCGAGACGCAAGCTTGAATATTATTTTTTTCGAGAAGAAAAGTTTCGTTTCACCTTGCAATCACGGACATACAGTCTCACGTCGTTTCTCCGCGGTCACCAATGCTTCCTTCCTCGTTTTTTCGTCGTCACGATAAAAAAGTTACGAGACTTCGTCGTTTCGTTTATTAATTAGGTTTCTTCTAATCCTCTAATCGTTCATCTCGCAAAGTAGGATGTGTCTCGGTTATCGGAGACGGGCAAAATTTCTCTAATAACGAATTAAATTCCCCATTGCTCATTGTCCAACTGAAAATACGAACTTTTGAAGATGGTGCATGTATCTTAGACGCAATGCGTATTTTTTCATTAAAATGCAGTTTGCAGTAGATTTTATTTGGAATAGGTGTGTTCTCGTTAAATTTCCCAGTCGAATTGATTAATATTTAATTTTATCAAGCACTTTCCAATCGATAACTTTTTGCAGTTTGTGAACGATACATCTATACAAAATGGACCCAACCATCGCCATCTTGGAGTTCAATTAAAAATACAAATTCCGATTGATTTTTTTCTGAAAATCTTGCCCGTCTCTGTCGCTCGTTCGCTTATCGTACAAAGAGGCCATTTATTTTTCTAAGAGACTTTTTCCTTTCGAAAAGAAAGTTCGGCTCGCTCCGTCTATGCAGTTGCTATCCCATGAGACGTCGACTTTCTAATCGCTTTTCGAAGACTTAACAATAATGAACAGATAATTTAATAGGAACGTGTTTCTTTTATTATCAAAAATTCGTATGACCAGCAATTGTTGCCCATACAACGTGTGTCCGTACTGTGTATCTGTATTTGTCTGTGTACATGTGTATTCAGGTATGTAGCATGGTATAGGCGTGTACGTCTTGTAAAAATTAATCTACATCGTCAGATAGGACTGCAGTATTTGTTTTCCCCGTTTCGCTTTCACTTTTCTGTATCGTCCGTTCTATTTTAACACTAGAACTTCCAGATGGACCAAAATGGTCCATTCCCAGTTTCTTCTTTTACAACTATTGAAAAGACAAAAATGATCCTCGAAGAAGCCACCAAAGAATCAACTGATTATTGATTTAACAATAAGAAAACTGTAACGTAAGTCAATGATAATCTCAGTGAATGCACTTTTTAATTTGTATAATATTAAAAAAAGTTAATTCGACTGTTCATCGGTCGTTCTAGCGTTAAACTTGTTTCTAGTCTGCCACCCAGTGTGTTCAATTCACGAAAACCCCAGTAAAATTGCACGCTCTACATCTAAGATTCTATTCGTGGCTTCCATCTCTCTCGTCTATACCTTTAAAGTTTCCCTCGTTACGAATACGCTTCTAAATACGCTTGGTATCCCGTGTAACACCGTATACCGTGTGTATAATCGTTACTCCCCCTCTGCCCTTTCTTTCCCCCTCAGTTTTGGCTGAACGATGAGCATATCGTTGTTTCGAAAGAAAATCGAAATGAAACGAAAGGAAAACAGAAAAAGAGAACGAAAGAAGAAGAACAAAAAAGATATTGTCGTTTCGACGCGTTCGTTGCCAGTCGATTGAAAATTAACTGTGGATCTGAGATTGAAATCATTGAGAGTTTTTTTATTCACTTCTAGGAAAATTATAAACAGTATACAACATTTTATCGGATAAACCTATGCTTCGTATCGGTTATTGTTTCTTCTTTTTAGACTTTTTTTTTATGGTCTCGATTAAGGAATAGCTTCGAAACAAAATGGCGGCAGCGAACGCGTTAAACGGGAACGCGTCTTGAGGAAAGTTTGTACAAAAGACTCTTCTTTCTTGCCTGTTATTCTTCTTTTTTTCTTCTTCTTCTTCCTTTTTCTCTTCCTCTTCTTCATAGAGCACGGACGAAAAATCTGTACACGTTTTACGACTTATACAATACTTATACAAAGTTTACGTATTATTTCGCCTCGACGCGTCAGAAATTAATCTTCGCCCGGTCGCGTGACCCGCCGTGGCATGACGAAAAAGTATTCCAGATGCTTCGTAAAACTTTTATTAAAATATCGTAGCGGCAGGCGGGGATTCCTCGAATGGATCCGGGCGAAGACCAATCGCCGACAAGATGGCGGGCGCGAGCGCACGCGGTTAAGCCGTCAGTCCTTCGGAATCAACGTTAAGGAAATGGATCGAACGTTTTAACGCTAGAACTACCGAGCCATTTAATTGATTCGAGTATAACCTCTTATAAAAATTAGAATGATTCGTTTATCGAGATTTAAACCTCTTATTTTTGTACCTGTACAAATACACGAATTTATTTTACACTTTCCCGTAAAGGTATCTTCACGATTCCGATAATTGTGAAATAAAAAGTATTCGAATCGGTCGTTCCGACCTGTACGGTAGTTCTAGTATTAAGGACACTGATGTTCACCCAGGAAAAATTCAGAAACGATTTCCCTTTCTTCGCTAATTGGTAATTACAAAAGAATCTTCGGCCGTGTAACGACTGAACTGCGGATGTCCTTGCAAATATAGAGCGGGGATTAACCGGAGAATTTTTTTCTTCGAAATTATTAAGCTTCGGATAAGATAGAAATCTTGTTAATGTTTATTCAATCTTCTGTTACACCGAGTTTCAAACAATTCTACGTTTCCTGGTTCTACGAATCGCGTAAAATCCGCAGTTCAGCGATGACCCTGGAACCTCGACCCTTGAAATCCACCGAAGCACTTGTTTTTTTTTCTTTCTCATCGTTAAACGAATTCTAACGCAGAAAAAATGGTTATTCTTTCTCGCGAGGTTACACGTTTATTTATGTACAACCGAAATTTCAAGCGATCGGATTAGGTCAGGATAGAAATTTCCTCCCCACGAGACTCAGGAAGACGCTTCCAGCAGCTTTTTTTTGTCCTTTCATTTTCCGTTTTATTAAAATGGAAGCTCCGAATTGTTTTTTGCTCGCTTAGAAATATTATTTAATGTTGTGGCGTAATTGCGAGGAGTCGCGAGACAACGAATCTTTCCTGATAAAATCAACTTTCGTAATCGAGAGGAGCTTCGCAGGAAATTGTCGTCGACAATTTCTCTCGTTTCTTCGGAAGAAAATACGGTTTTCTTCGGAAACTTTCAAAAATTCAGATTGCAAATAGCACTTCCGTTTTAGGGGAACGAAGTAAAGTCGTGAACATTCGCAAAATACGTTTCGCGGAAGTGGCTCCGTCTGCAATTCCCACAACGCGATTCCCTAAACATTAACTTATCCTCCTATTATTTCGTACTTACAATCCCCACCAACCTGCCGGTGCAGATCTCTTAACGTAAGTAGGTACAGTATATAAAAGTGTTTCTTTCACTGTCGTTCGAAGAGAAGGGCTCGCGATTCGAGAAGTGAAACATCCGATACAGAAGAAAAGCAGCGCTACCGCTCGGAACGATTAGAAAGGATCTCGTTTGCAGTTTGCTCTGAACGATCAGCAAAAACTTTGGAACTTCAACGCTGAACGTACCGACATTTTGTACTTATATTCTTATTCCTACCGTAACCAGACAAATAACTGGTTACAAAATGAAGGTGGACGAATTAAAAAAGATATCTTTCTTAATGGAAACAGAAACGAAAGGAAACATGAAAATTGAAGAACTGATTAACCGGACAATATAGAAATTGATGTGAAGGTAAACGAACGAAAAAGAACGCAAAATTTTCAATGAGATTTAAAAACCGGTTATTTGACCGGTCGCAGTACGTTTAGAGTTGAAAGAACAACTTTAAAAATCTTCAAGTGGCTGTTCTCCAATTCATTACATAATTCATTGACAACTAATTTCTATAGTTTGGCTATAGTCGTGTTCAAGGCCACTGTACTTGTCCTCCAAGGCCACAAGTTAATAATTAAAACTAATTCGATTAGCGAACTGATTAAAGGACGATTTTCCATTGGCCTTGAGGGACCAGTCGATTTTGTTACGACTATAGTCAATGATCTCCAATCTTCTGCAAACGGATAAACGTCCAACGGTAACGAGCGGACCGTCAACCGCAGACATTTCAATGTTATTAGGTCATCCCATAAATTCCTCGTTAAATAATGCGTGCCTCGAATGCAAAATCAACAAGAACAAAAGAACTAAGTTTCTACTTAGTGCCATCGTGTTTATTTGATCATTCTAATGCGCACCGAAACACGACTAAATAATTTAAATAAGGTTCAATCAACTCTAGAACTACCGAGCGTTTAATAAGATTAATACGTAATCCTTACGCATTAAATTGTAACAATAGATTTTTTTCAATTCATATATTCACCACAGTATTAAAGTGAAACTGTTTTTAACACCATTTTGAAACCCGCCATTTTGTCGGGTGCGGTAGTTCTAGTGTTAGGTTTTCATTTCTTTATCGAGTAAACGAGGTTCTCAATAGAAACAGTGAACTTTTTTATTGTTCCTCGTTTCGTAATTCGTTCGAAAGGAGAAACAAACGAGAGTTTTGCAATGCACCCGCAATGGTGAAACATTTTACGTCTGGCTCAATGGTCTCGGACATCTCGCCGTTTTATTGGACATCGTCGTCACGATTTGATCGCTCAATTACAGTTCGAAGGACACGATTTATTGAATGAACAGGCGCGCGATGACCTAATACTAGAAACGCGCACGGAACGTTACAATCGTCGTGCTTTCAATCGCCGAACTTAGCGAAAGTGAGTCGTCTTAATAAAAGAAAAGAAATGAGAAAAACAAGGAATCGCAACGATCAAAGCCCTCGTCTTCGACCCGGGGACATCGTATAATTAATATTATTTACAAAACTTCATCGAAGGTGTGCTGTCAAGCGAAACAAAAAGATAGAATCGTGAGTCGGACGGGCCCGATCTACCGGGCGTCCTCTAAAATACAAATCCGCTACTTCGAAAATCGTACTAAAGTGGCTAAATTCCAAAAAGAAAAGAACGAAAAAAAAAGAAAATGAAACACGGTGAACACAATGCAAAAAAGATTCAAGCTGTTCGTCTCTACCGTGTCGACGTTCGTTACAATTCGAGAAAATTCATTGCACTGGCAAGCTGAGACAAGCGTTACTCACGAGGGAACCTGAGCAACCCGAGAATTTTAATTGTTTCCTTATTGTAAAATTTCGCTGATTGTTCTTCGGCTCACCAAAAGTGAAAGTATTTAGCAAATGTTAACATTTACATTCTAGGTTTCGTATATATTCGAAATCGTAACAGATGAACAATCTTTAAAGGAAAGATCTCGGTAAAATATTCTTGTAATAAAAGCGATAAGACTTAATTGAGCGAATTAAAAATTTGAAGCAGTTGCGATACGATATTGGAAACCATAAAAAAACCATTATGTTCTCGGCGCAATTTCATCCATGATAATAAATAATAATAATAAAATAATGAACGAAAAAACGGATCGTACAGAAAAACGAAAATCGAAAATCTTCGGGTCATCGGGGGTCCCTCGTCAGTCTTGGAAAACAAGATCAAGAGCAAAGATAAGAAACAAAAAGAAATAATTGGTAAATTGGCTTTCTTTTTCTTCTTCGCGCGTTGATCGTCACGTTTGAACGTTGCCCGTCAACGTTCGAACGGGACGTAACCCAGGGAACAAGTCGAAACAAACGATAAGATCCTCTAGTCTAATCGAAAAATACTGTAGCAGGTATTATGACCACATTAAAAGTAAATTAAACGTAATTAGCATTATCTTTATTTTTACAAGTTATATCGATAAAAACAGAGCAATCCCCCCTC